CAAAAAAAGCTCCTGGCGAGGATCGTATAACGTCTAAAATGTTAAAAATGGGCGGCAACATCGTTGTAGAAGTTGTGGAAATCTAACTGAATAAGTGTCTAACAGAAAAAAGAATACCCAGCCTATGGGAAAACGCCGAAATAATACTTTTACACAAGAAAGGAGACACTACTAATATTGAAAACTACAGACCTATAAGTTTGTTGTCACACTTATACAAATTGTTAACAAGAATAATAACCAACCGCATAACACAAAAACTTGGTTTTTCAACCAACAATCAACCGGTTGAACAGGCGGGATTTAGAAAAGGGTTTGGTGCTAATGATCACTTACAAACCATCAGAACACTAGTAGAAAAAACCACAGAATATAATGTACCTTTACATATGGCATTTATCGACTTTCACAAGGCTTTCGATAGTATTGAGACTTGGTCCTTTTTGTCAGCTCTGAAGGATGCTCGAATAGACTCACGGTACACTACACTCATTAAAAACATTTATGAACAGGCCACATTCCACATCAAAATCAATGAAGACGAAAAAACTGAAAAAATGCGCCTTGATAAAGGTATTAGACAAGGTGATACTATTTCACCAAAGCTTTTTACCTTAGCATTGGAAAATGTATTCAAACAGCTTGACTGGGAGGAAAAAGGTCTAAACATTGATGGTGTACGTTTGAGTCATTTGAGGTTTGCGGATGACATAGTATTATTTAGTACAGATATCAAGGAACTGGAGCAAATGTTGAAGGAATTAAACCAGTAGTCAAATAAAATAGGTCTCAAAATGAACCTTAAGAAAACAAAAATAATGAGTAATTCAAACTAATCTTGTTATTGACAACGTCAGTCTTGAAAATGTAAACCACTATATATATATATATATATATATATATATATATATATATATATATATATATATATATATATATATATATCTTGGACATACCATTAAAATCGGCAAAGAAAATCAAATCGCCGAAATAAAAAGACGCATACAACTGTCTTGGGGAGCTTTCGGCAAATTAAGCTTTATTTTGAAGAATAAAGATATACCAATGTGTCTAAAACGTAGAGTTTATGACAAATGTATCTTGCCTGTAACTACATATGGACTGGAGACCATGGCCTTCACAAAGAAAACCTTAGAGCAGCTCAGTACAACCCAAAGAGCAATGGAGAGGGCCATGCTAGGGATTAGTTTGAGAGACAGGATTCGAAATAACGTCATTCGTGAAAGAACAAAAATTACTGATGTCTCAGAACGTATTGCAAGGCTCAAGTGGCAATGGGTCGGACACGTTGCCCGAGAAATGGAAAAATGGACACAAAGATTAACAAACTGGAGACCAAGAGAGAACAGGCGAGGAGTAGGCAGACCGCAGAAGAGGTGGACAGACGATATCAAACAAGTCGCGGGCAGGCAGTGGATGAGAATTGCCAAAAGTAGAAATCGATGGAAGCAAATGGAAGAGGCCTATGTCCAGCAGTGGACGAACACAGGCTGAAGAAGAAGAAGAAGAAAGAACAAATAGCCTTAATATTGACTTTAAAGCCTACAGTCAAAGAATATGCTATTTTCGCTTAAAAGGGAAATTCTTTAATTATAGTTTGATCAATGCAGATGCCCCAACTGATGACAAACCAGAGGAAACTAAAGAACAGTTCTTCAAAGACCTAGAGCTAGCATACAGGAGATGTCCCGGAAATGATATTAAGATTGCATTAGGTGACATGAATGCAAGAATAGGACGATAGCGAGTTTTCATGCCCACGATAGGAAAGCATAGCCTACACATAGCCTAAAGTAGCCATAATGGATTACGACTGATAAACTTAGCAGCAGCACTAAATAAAACAGTCGCTAGCACCTATTTTGAACACAAGAACATACACAAGGTAACCTGGACTTCTCCTGATGGAAGAACAACGAGTCAGATTGATCACTTCTTAATTGATTCAAGGCATGGAACAGACGTAATAAACTGCAGAACTTAGGGGCGCAAACATGACTCAGATCATTGTCTAGTGATCTCAACCTCGAGGGCTAGAATTTCAAACACCAGTAAAGAAAATAAAATGGAAAGAAAAAAAACGGAATGTGCAAAAGCTGAGAGGTGCGATAATTGCAGAACGATACTCGGAAAACATCAACAGCAAATAGGAACAGAAATTTGTATCCCTAAAAATCATTGGTTTAACAATGAATACAAGAATGCAACAAAAGAAAAAAAAAGTCTACAGAAAGATCCTTACCCGACGAACTAGAACAACTGTAGAGAATTATTAGACCAATAGAAGAGAAGAAAAGAGGATACACAAAAGAAAAAAACCAAAGCACTTAAATAAGGTACTTAGATATATAGAAAACCTCAACAGAGAGAAATAATTCAGAGCATTATATAAGAAAGTTAACATAAAAAAAATAATTCAAGGTAACCACAAGACAATGTAGAAGTCGGAATTACTTTAAATAGGCACTTTGTATAGAGGAAGAAGAAAAAAACCTAGAAAACGAAAGAGAAAAGGTAAGGGGAACTGATGAGAGGGAAGAGGAACCACCAACGATGCTTGAAGTTAAAGATGCAGTTAAAAAAATAGCCAGAAACAAATCACCCGGAATAGAAAATCTCCCAGCTGAACTAAGAAGAAGGTGGCCATGATACAATACCGGCATTACAAAAGCTTATAAAAGAAATATGGACACAGAAATCCCTCCCCAATTATTGAAATATCGGAATACTTTGCACCATACACCAAAAAGGGGATATCTTTGAAACCTCTAACCAGAGGAACTACGCTTCTAATTGCAGCGTATAAAATATTGTATGGCATCATATACAGAACAGATGGTAGGAAAATACCAGGCTAGTTTCAGAGGTGGTAAATCGACAATTTATCAGATGGCAACCCTGAAACAAATTTAAAAAACACTGCGATATGACATTGACATTCACCACATATTTATAGACTACAAAGCAGCCTACGACTCTGTGAATATACGAAAAATGTTCAAAGCAATGAAAAAGCTACGAATACCAAATTAGTTGGTGAATTTCACAAAACTAGCTTTTGAAAAAGTTGAATGTACAGTACGAATTGAGGGGGAACTGTCTAACTTTTAAAACAAATAACGGGCTGCGCCAGGGAGACCCTCTCTCCTGTATACTGTTCAATCTGGCTCTGGAAAAATTAATATGTATGTCACAAATCACAACCACTGGTTCAATATATAATAAATCAGTGCAAGCAACCACAAATCCTACAACCACTTGTTAATGAAAACGACGTTATCAAAGCAGTGAACGAAATTGTATACCTGGGAACGCTCTATAACACTGAAAATAATACTACCACAGAGATAAATTGTAGAATTTGCATGGCCAACAGATGCTATTTTGGGCTCAATCTGCTCCTTAAACCCACAATTATATCGAGAAATATAAACTCTACAAAACAATAATACGCCCAGGCCTAAACCTGGACTCTAACAAAAAATAATGAAAACATGTTAAGATGTTGGGCCCGCGTAGCGCAAGCGGTAGTGTGCTTGCCTCGCATGCCGGTGGTCGTGAGTTCGAATCCTACCGCCGGCAAGAACAACTAGGCATTTTTAAAATGTCTATAGGCCCCAGGTCGACTCAGCCTGAATAAAATGAGTACCTTGGGTAAAACCAGGGGTAATAATAGGCGGTTGAAGCGTAGCACTGGCCATGTTACCTTCCTTGTATACCGTAGGCCCTAGATATAGCAGACTACCCTGCTATACTCCCAAAGCCGCGTGCGGTATAAAACGGGAGACTATTATTATTATATGTTAAGATGTTTCGAAAGAAAAGTACCAAGGCGAATCTATGGAGCAGTGAATGACAATTGAGTGCGGAGAAGACGACACAACTTCGAACTTTATAGAATATACCAGGAACCTGATATAGTAAAACATATTAAGATAGAACGTCTGAGGTGGATGTCACGTAATGCGCATGGATCAAAATGACCCAGCTAGAAAAACGCTTCTTGATAGACTCATTAGCCAAAGAAGAATAGGAAGACCCAGAAGAAGGTTCCTTTAACATCGATGAAGACATGAGAAATATGGGAATAGGTGCTTGGCGGAGGAAGGCGATGGATAGGGACGATTGGAGAGAAATTGAGAAGGCTAGGATCCAAGCAGGGTTGTGAAGTCAGAATGATGATAATGTATCAAAAAGTGTTTGCCACCTGTGAAATGCAGAGACACGTTTAAAAAAATTATGATTTTTAGGTTCTTTAATTTTTTATTATCTACGTACTGTTTTTTATCAACAAAGCTACATTTGGTTTTTTCAATTTTCGAATATTGCATGTGTAACACAATAAATATTTTTTTGCACTAATTGTGTTTCTTATTTACATTTTTAATATTCTTCCTTAAATATATGCCCAATCTATAAGTAGCATCTCGAAAAATGTGTCTTCTTCTCTATAAAAGAGGCATGGATCGAATTTTTTGCACCTGAGTGTATGTTAAAATTTAATAGGTCAGATTGTACCAGAACACAAAGCATATGTTGTAGTTTTATGTAGTTTTTCTTTTAACACTGTAACATGTACGATAAATAAAATAAAATTAAAAAAAAAACATAAAGAATTAATTGAAAATATCATTCGCTGAAACGACGAAGCAAATATTGAAATATTTTATCAATCACAGACGATACACCCAGGAATTTTATATAAAGATTTCATTGAAAATTCACGGTCAGCAAATCCCAAATACAAAATTAAATCACTTCAGATATTTTGTAGACTAAATATCTAAATGCTTTTAAAACTATTCTTTATGACGAAAAATACATTCTTTATTAACTATAAGACCGATTGTCTAAAATCAGAAGCATAAACATTTTGATTATTTAGCAACGATTCTATAACTTTATAATGTTAACTAATGTCATAATTCGTTTCTAAGTAATAATTTTTAATTAAAATTGTTTTATATACCAGCTACTACCTTTTCCTGCAACCGCAAGAACTTCAAGTTAAAGAGCACAGATTACGTAAAACATGCACTGAAGAAGATCAAACGATACGAAAAAAAAAAGTTGCCGAATTTACGGTCGTGCGTTCGCGAACTAGTTCTTTGCTCTCTCGAAGAGTACCAATTCAACGAGACACTATCGGGTACGGCTGAGAATAATCGACTGCTTGATACTGTAAACTTGGTACTTGAAGGTGGTATTCTTTATGATCGCTCGAATAGTGTGGGAGCTGTTTAGTATTTCGGAAAAAAACTAATAGAATCTAATAAGGATATTATGTTTGTTTATTTAGTTTTTAATTGGTACTCTCTTTAATTGGTCAGGGGCAAATTTCAAACTTAATAGTGTAACATTTACTGGCACATGCCAGTAATTAAGAAAATTTATAAGACATAATGTAAGGTTTATATCGTAATTCATTAAATTTGTGAATACAACTAAAACGTACGGCTCACAACAAATACAAATTATCTTAAATCGAATTTAAGACCTAAAACAGACGAAGCGGTTTTCATGATGTCAATTGTTTAATCAAGGTAGCCTATCTTTGTGACATTTTTGACTTCTTGAACAATTTAAATATGACATTATAAGGTAGCAATGTAACTGTATTTAAAGTACAAGAGAAGGTGGAAGCTGCAATAATTTGTGGATACGTCGCGCGGAAGCAGGAAATTACAAAGCTTTTACAAAGCTAACAAAAATACAAAAAGAGTATAATGTGAATTCATTACCGAATGAGATATCAGAGACTCAAGTAACACCTGCTAGGACTGGAGGTAAATCTGAAGGAATATTTTCTCACCATCTACAGCAGCAAAGCAAAGGATAAGGAATCCATTTACAATGGACGTAGAATCCAAGACATGACTTCCGGATTTAGATATTGAGTCAGTAATTGAACTATCGTGTGATAGGGCAATCAAAGACATATTTGACAACACACCACTGACAGATTTTTGGCTGTCTTGCCGTCAGGAGTACCGAGTTTTAGCAGAAAAAGCGATAAAGTTTCTAATTCCTTTTGTTACGACCTATAAGTGTGAGACAGGGTTTTCAACAGTGGTTTTCCTCAAAAATAAATATAGGAACCGTTTGGAAGTCGAACTAGACCGTTCAAATTAATATCTTTTCCTCCAAACGTGAAGTTTTTAGTTAACCAAAAGCAACTGCATGCTTCTCATTTAAGTTTTGATTTTTATTTCGTTTTATTACATTTTGTTTAGCAGGGAAAACTATAATGATCTGCACAGATAGCAGACAAGCGCTACTAACCTTGAATAGATCACGTGTCACATCAGGTTTAGTAATGGAGTGTCACGAGTTACTAACTCAAGCTTCGGATGGTAATACCATCATCCTGAAGTGGGTTAAAGGTCACAATAGGAATACAGGCAACCGCATTGCTGATCAATTATCTAGGAAGGCGCCAGGCCTAAGACTCTTAGGACCTTGAGATCTTTTTGGTTGGTCAACTACAACAATCGCGGAAATTGTCAAATGTCACTCCCATACGCAAACCGTAAAAAGATGGGAAGAAGGGAAAGCATGTAAACTTGCCAGGGTAACACTAAGTAACCTTGAAGAGTCAACATCAAAGAAGTACTTGAGAATGACCAGGAAAAATCTACGTTTGGCAGTTGGTTTTTTAACTGGTCATTGTCAACTAAGCAAACACCTCCACACACTGGGGCTAGTTGACACACCTCTATGTAGGAAGTGTGAACGAGAAGACGAAACTGTAGAGCATGTCCTATGTGAATTCCCAGAGTTTATCGTTAATACGAGAGTACGCGTTCGGCGAGTCCTGGCCTACACCTGCCCACATAAGTGAGATGTCTCCTGGTGACTTGTCCACCTTCCTAGAAATGGCAGGATGGACAATGAGCTAAGGGTGACAGCTCCCTGGGAGGATGCATAATGGGTCAATTGTGGCCTAAGTGCTGTGAAACTTAACTCGCCCTCCCTACTCTACAGATACAGACAGATACATTTTTGTTTGTGCTAATGATTCTTTATTAATGTATTTTAATAAAGAATAATTATAAAATATAATTACATATTTAATATACTACAATAAATATTTAATTTAAATATGTTTTCTTGTACACACAAACCAGGGTATGAAAAAAAATTAGTGGGTCACGAAGAATAAGCACAAAAATATCCGGGCCACGGAAAAATAAGTTTAGAAAACGCTGATCTAGACTGAATAAATCAAAGAGAAGAATCAGGCAAATCAGTTAAATTTTATTTTTGGGATGGGATTAAGCCACAATTGATTATAATAGAAATCTCGATGAATCTTTCCATTGTACTCTGTGTCTATCGTCCCAGGCATGTTCGCATATCTGTGATTTGTGGAAGTATCTGTTTTTAATGTATGTTTCATGCTTGTTTATCCTGATACTTAGTGGTCTTCAGGTTTCTCCCACATAAAAATTGTTACATTCACGTGGTATTTTATAGATGCAGTTCTTTGATTTCACAACAGGCCACATATTGGTCTACGCTTTATGGCTACTTATGTCCTTATATAAATTCTCCTTATATCTTATTTATTTATATTCAGCTTTCTCTTTTGGTGGCTGATGTTGAACTAATTAGTTTTTGATCGGTCTGAATCATGTTCTCAAAAAAAAACTCCTATTCTGATTCTCGTGTAAGACCTTTGATATATTTGCACCTAAGAGTGGGCTAAAATCGCAGCGTAGAAGAGATGGATACAAAATATTATCACTGGATGACACCATCAGATGAACTAGCTTCACTATACAGACTAGCACTGATAAAGAGAACCTCTAGAGATGTGGGTACCTCTTGCGAACCCACCTCGGTGATTGTGGGGAGGATTAGTTGACAGTACATAGTATGTACAGAATGTTCCAGTCAATGTAGGTAAATTTCCAGGCAAATATATAGAAATTTTTGCATTTCTGTGGCTTTTTTTTTGTTTTGTTGAAGCATACATACTATTTGTTGCATTATGTATTTCTCAAAAATATTTTGTTTCAAGGCCACCAAGTATACGTATGTATAAAAATAACTTAATACAATCATTAAATAGGAACAAAAATACAGTTCTTAACAATAAACATATAGCCTTTGAAATAAAATAGATTAAAATGTTTCTTTAGTAGATGACTTTACTGGGAATAAACCAGAATTTTAGTTTATAAGTTTATTTTTATGTTTATGTTTCGATTTCCACTTCGAACATTTTTTAATTCAATTTATATTTTGAGAACAATTTCCGAAATGGAAATTTCAAAACAATATTTCAGCAGATCATATTCTAAGTAATTTTTTGATATTTGGCTAGTAAAAATTAAAATTCGAAACATCGATGGATTTGAGCGAAATTAGGTATACTTTAAAAATATCAGATGCTATCAACCAGCTCCCAAACTAATACGTTAAGACTAACGTTAACCTAGTATGTCAGCAGGTTAGCATGACTAGGCACCGCATTCCTCATCCTCATATACTTATAACAGCGACTCCGCTCCGGTGAGGAAATCTGTTCTGTTATGGTGTGAGTAATAAAAGTAATTTATGTACAATCTTCGACGATGATTTCGACACGATATAACTATGTATCTATTATATATTACAGGTCATCTTTGTAGAAAAATTGGTTCGGTTGTTTTATTGTAGACCGATATAATTATAAAATAATACACAGATCGAGTATTTATGCTCTTAAAGAATCTACAGTACGTGTAAAAGGCTCTTTTAGAGAAGAAGATCATTGATGGAAGTTACTAACTGTCTATATGACATTTGGAAGTGCCTGCAAGAAGAGTAACTGAATTTATAAAAATTATATCGCCTGACCAGGCGAAATTAAAGTCACTGAAATCGAAAAGATTGATTTTAAGTTAATTTGGAACTGTCTGCAAGTTCCACAGGCTGCTTTACAGAAAAGTTTAACTTTTTTACAGCTGTACGTTGTACCTCATTCCCAGTACAATAAATTGCACCATATCATTACAAGCAGTTCTTCTGATACAGGCTTATTAACCATTTTTACTGGCTGCAAATAATCTTCGCAATTTATCCATTCAAAATCAGTAGGGTAAATATTTTTGTTCCCAAGCCCAAGTGAGTATTTGACTGCTCCGAAATAGTTACTGCTCCGAATGAAAACACACATACACAAAGATAAAAGTCGAAAGCTTACAGGATGACTCCACAAAATGCCTATTCCAAAAAAGACTAACCAAAAAAAGGAGAAACACATATATCACAGAAAGTGATGGAGTCGAAGAAAGCTGGGCAAAAATGAAGTCTAATATATTAGCCTTGGCCAAGGAAGTTCTTGGTGAAAGAAATAAAAATAAAAATAAATCGTTCCCAAAGCGAAGAACTCCATGGTTTTGTACAGAAGTGAAGAAAAAATGCAAAGAAAAGAAAGAAAGCTTACCTGTAATACATGTCAACCAAAACACAAGAGCCATACCATAATTACAAGACAATTAGAAACGAAAGACATGCACTTATAAGAAAAATAAAAAATGATCACTGGAAAGCTTTTCGAAAGAAATGAAACATCTTTTTACGGTCGGCAAAGGGAAATATGGCACTTCATAAGAGGTCAAAGAACGGAGGAAAAGGAATCATAATAGATGGTTCTAATAGAACCAAAACACATATATACATGGATTGACAACCTAAATACTTAAGCGGAAGGATAAAAAAGCAGCAGGTAAAGACGGGATACCGAACGAATTACTGAAATATTGTGGAGCAGCAATGACAGAACAATTAACAACATTAATTAACAAAATTATAAAACACGATAAAATACCGGAAGGAGGAATACAAACAAGGAGATAAAAAACAACCAAAAAACTACAGAGGTATAAACTTGTTAAATACTGCTCCAAAACTTCCTAAAACTTACAACCAAAATTTTAAAAGTACTAATAAAACAGAGGATAAGTTCAGCAGATTAAATTAAATATTATAAAATCTATCGAAAACATCTACCAAAACAGAAAATGGAAGTCAGAATAGATGGACAACTTACAGAACCTATAGAAATAGGCAGCGGAATAAGACAAGGGGACCCATTAAGCCCAATGCTCTGTAATTTAATCATGGATGAAATCATCAAAAGCGTTAACAAAGGAAGATGATACAGAATGGGAAACAAAGAAATAAAAATACTCTGTTAAGCAGACCACGACGCAATATTGATAGCCCAATATGAAGATGGTCTGCAAATACTGGTCCACAGATTTAACATAAAAGCAACAGAATTTAGTATGACAATCTCATCTCAGAAAACTTAAACAATAGTGGTCAGCAAAGAACCAACCAGATGAAAAATAGAAATTGATGGCATGGTATTGAGCAAGTAAAGGAAATTAAATACTGTCCAGCTATGGGACCTGGACAAAGAAGTGAGAGATCAAGTACAAAAAGCAAATAGACTGGCAGGATGTCTTAATAACACTATATGGCGAAACAGACAGATTAACACTGAGATGAAGTCAAGAATTTATAAATCCAGACCAATAATGACATGAGCCTCAGAAACAAGATTCGACACAGCCACAACGCAAAGGTACTGGAAACAGCAGAGATGAGTGTATTGAGAAGAATTACAGGAAATATGCTGACAGATCAGATCAGATATGAAAGAGAAGTGAAGACATTGGAAGAAAATGTAACGTTCAGTGTATAAATGAATGGACGCAAAAAAGGAAAAAAGGAATGGAATAAGCAGAATTGAGGATATCGGTGTCATCAAAATAGCAAGAGATAAGTCACCAATCGGCAAAATATGTTTCGTATGACAACTCAAAAGACGGAGTTACAACCTTCCATAGAGGTATTAATCCGCCAATGAACAAGCGGAATTGCTTATAATAAGTAGAAGAGGAAATAGTTAATCGGAGAAATTTATACGCTCCGAAAAAATTGACAGGAAAACATAAATAGTTCTGTTACTATAACTTCTTTAATTTTAAAGATATTTAACTGACATAGACTTTATATTGTAGGGAATTTTGACGACAATAAGATCTGAAGAACATTTTTGAAGGATTTGTTTTTTAAATCATGCGATTTAAAGCGTTTAAAAACAGAACTTGTCACTTATGTACAAACTTGAATCGTCAACATCTCAATTGTTTTTATCGTATAAAAATAAAAAATGAAATATTTCTGCAACAAAATTCATCTCTGTTAGTTTCAGAGAAATTTTGAAAAAATGGACAAATTTTATTAAGCTTCAAAAATTAATTTAATACCAAATTGAAGTTTTTCAAATCTAGGCATTTTAAACTGCATAAATTATAGTACTCGTTGTTGATACATAAATAAAGCTAATTGTATGTGGAATTAGATTAATTTTCATTTTTGTGGAAAAGTCATTAATGTAATTTCTTCTTTTTTTAATAACTTGGGTGTTTTCCATCCAAATCACTTTTTGGCGTTTGTTTTGAAAATCTCTTCTTTTTACGTTATTTGATGAAAAAAGTTTCGTTTGCAGATTAATTCAAATAAACCCTAACTTCATCGAGTTGTAACTCGGGTTGTATAGCCGCGATAAAAATTAAAAAAAAACCGTTTGATTTATTTTGAAAGGTTTCTTTTTAATTGGTATGACTTTTTGGTTAAAATGTACTAATTCGAGTTATCTTTAAAAAGCATCCAAAACATGCATTTTTAGATAGAAAATCAATAATTGCAATCCTGAATAAACTAGAAAATGTTAACTATCGAGAAAAGTATATATGACATTTTTTTGCTATAAATTTAATACTGAATCTGTTTCGAGAGTTATTTAAAGGTTAAATATTTTCACCATCAAGAATCACCATCACCATTATTTCTAATTTCAATACCAGAAACAGTGTTATTCAAATTAACCGAATCACTTAATTGTAAATTCCTGTGTTCTATTGACTTTATTAAATCATAAAATATACAATATAGTAAAAAATACAATTAACTTTTATAAACTAAGTTCTTTAACATATTATCTTAACATAATGTCCTTTTTATGCTATCTAAATGATTTACTCAGAAAATGGCTATCTGTGGCATATTGGAAGGATAACTTTTTTCCTCGACAAGTTTTCTATGCGTATTTCAAATTCCATGTCAATCGAAGTGGTTCTTTAAAATCCTGAGCAAAACCCATGAAAGAATGGACTAATAAAATAAATAATTTATTAAAACAGCACAATGTCAGTCAAAATAAGACAATCTAATTTACAGAATGACTATAATTGGGTAAAACTAGATTATTTAGATTAAAATATAAATTAACTATCATAATATAGATTACAACTTTAGTTGTAATTTCAAATCATCAAATCAAAAAATGTATAAAAAAGGCTACCTATTGTAAAAAATGTATGCAAAATGAATTATTATTATAAGTGTTGTTAGATTTTTTAAAATTTTCTCACTAAATAAATATTATCTAAAACTATAGACTAAGATGATGATGAAAAAATTTATGGGATTAAAGGAACAACTAGATCGTCGATAAAACCCAAACAATTATACAAAATTTATCTCTCTAAAAACTCACCTGATCTTCTATTACATGTCGTAAGGTAGTATCTTCTAACGAACCCCTGAAATAAACACGGCATTTAAGGAAAACGATTCAGTAATTAAAACAATACAGATCCGCGCAGCCAAATAGAATATATCGTAATAAATAACAGATTAAAACATAGTTGCACTATTGCAAAAGAGTTATTCTCAGTCCAGACATCAACGCTGATCGTAACTACAAGTAACAACTTTAATGAACTGAAAATCTGAAGAGCTATAAAATGAAGAGTGTATATTGCAAAGAGTCTCGAAAACAACCCCAATGGCTATGTCAAACATTTAGAAAAGATATCGCGGAATTAGAAATAGCAAACGACAACCGGGTCAGGACAGAAAAATGTTGAACTAAAAGATTACAAGATGTTGAACTAAATAAAACCACGACCTATGGATGAAAGTTGGTACCTTTCTACGACCAGAAACAAAGCAGCCATCGATGGAATGAAGACACTTCTAGTTCTCCAAGGGCTAAGAAATTTCGTGTTCGAAAATCAGCTAGGAAAACTACTTCTTCTTTCAGTCTTTTGAACTTTAAGTATTATCCGTCATTACTAACCATCCCACGAGAAAAAAATTTGATGAAAAAATGCATACCAAGTTGTACATAGGTTTTTACAGACAATGTCACTGCATATAAATCAGATGCTGTTATGCCAACAATTCGTGAATTAGGGTTTCAGTTATTGAAAACACCACCTTATTTACCAGATTTGGTTCCGTCCAACTATCATATCTTTCAAGTGAAAAACAGTAAAAAATATCTTTATTTTCTTCCAACAAAGATATCATGTAAGCTATGGAATCCCGGTTTACAGAGCAAGATATTGTTTGAAAGGTGTATAGGCGTCTATACACCAGTATCTAATTACGAGGAGAGTATGTTGAATGATAAAATACTCTGGCTTTCAAATTTTGTTTGCTTCTATTGTAGACTAAGAATGTTTCAATATATCCTCGTATATTATTTAATTTTATTGTTTTATTAATATTTTTCGTAGTATATTTTCAGTTTTTTGTATTTCTCGCACATTCATACGACTATTTAAACTTTAGACAACGGAAGTTACATTTAATATAGCAAAATAAAAAAATACACACAGCAAAATGTCTTGACGCCTTGAAAAGCTGCCTTACATGGCCATTTAATTATAAATATAAGTACTAATAAATATGAAATTTGCCATTAATCAGCTGATTGCTTTTTCCATTTATAGCGAACGAACGAGGTTGACAAAAACAGGAATTCGAAGTGATCGACCTTTTTCATTTTGAGGAAAAAGGTGTTGTAAAACAACTATAATTCCTTCAAAATTTACACTACAAATAACAATAAATGTATAAGTTCATTAGATTTTCCTTTATCTCTATGCAAGGTTGCTTTCGTTATTTTATTATTTGTTTTGTTTCTTTGTTCATTTTTAGGTTTGGCGTTTCTTAAAGGAAAATTCAATTGTTCCATCATTGTATTTGCTATCCATTATTTTTATTTAAGTTTAAGTTTTCTGTGCCAAATCGTCTTCTAATTTAGACAAAAGTCGTTGTTGGAAAGATAGCCAATATATAAACAGACTTTTAAATTTCACGAACTCTAAAAATGAGGTTGATCACGAGGAAGATCCCCAACAAGATGGATTGACCAAATTACAAGAATATACAAAAGACACTATGCATGAGTTAAAAGAAATGACCAGAGACAGAGACTTATAGAATATTTGGAGACGGAGAATATATGACATCACGATGACCACCACTACACACCCTCCAGGGGGGTCGGGACTGAAGAGAGAGATGACTACAATCTGATTAGATAGACCAATTTGCAGTTTTTTTCTAACTTACATTATTAAAAGATAGTCTTTTGAACTAGTTCAAAATCATTGCATTCATTAATATGTTCCTATAAAGTCTAACCTACTGACAGTACTAATATTAATATTTTGAGTACAATCACGTCGGAGGATCATAACTATTCCCAAACACTTTGTTCTATCCTCGGATTACATCAATGTTCTTGTTAGCGCATCTCTAGAGTTGCAAGCCAATGTCCATTTCTGATCTTAATATTTGTTAATAGATCAATTATCCGGTGGATAGTTTAGATTTCCCTCCTAGCATCCAATTGAATTATCTTAATTTGATATTATTTTCAGATCTTGGTTGTTAATTCCTGCTTCTTTTAGTATTTGCATCAGCTTGGCGTCCTGTACTCGATCAAACGCTCTCTCATAATCAACCAGACATGCCATAAAAGTTGGACTTTTAAAATAGAGCCTGAGATATTGGTAAACTCATCCCTGCAGCTGCCTCCCGTGGCAAGTATAGACCATAAACACCTTGCAAGCCCCCCTTATTTGAGATAATAAATCTAAAATCGATGTATTAAATGCAAATGCAGTTCATTGGTTTTTATTTGGGAATCCTACAAAATTCTATTGATAGCTACCTAAAACTATGCGAAAAGAAAAAGTTCTCTTCATTTGCCCTTGTTCCTTTAACATGGATAGTGCACTGCTCATGGATTACGTTTTGAGCTACTGCGGACGAAAAATGATAGATATCAATAATTTTCAAATTTCAATTGTGAAAGACTCTAAAATCTAATTGCCTTTTGTGGACTTGTGCGAAGATATGGTGTAAGGCTATATAAAGATCGGAATATTTTTTGACTTAACCTAGACTTTTGACGAAACCATAAATGGGTCAGTTTTTATAATTCAACAATGTAATATGGACGTTACTTGTCGAAAGCAGAGGCATATTACATGGATAGTACAGTTTAATATGCTTTTTCTTGCAATTATTTTCCATCCATATCTTTCATCCATCTATCCATCATTAAATGGGCATTAGGTGTCTCTTATTGTGTCTTTCCGACAAACGCGTACAAACCTACGTCGTGGTCGTTAATCAATTAATTTGTTGCTCCGACTTGTTGTCGAGAAGTTGGTGTCGTTTTAAGTCCATCAAGACCTGTGACTGATTTTGAAATTTGCCGTTCCGCCATCTGCAAAGCGAATTGGGTGTTTATTTCACTTGACTCAAAGTTGGTTTTGCAAAATCCAAAAGCTTGGTTTTTAACCACTTACAAGAGAGAAGATTCCAACGGCAAGTGGCTGCACCACTTATTTAGCTGGCCATTTTTGGACCCAGAACGAGTTGTCGATTGTTTTGTCAACGATTTCATGCAGATATCTCTAACCTGCTTCATTTATTAAAACGGCCTGATTATATGGTAGAGAACTACGTAAGTAATAAGTCACTTTTTCCTCTAACTGTTTGGGCATCCCAGTCTAGCCATATACATTTACCACAAATTCATGCGAATCCTTTCATTCCCATTTTTCCAACCATTGTTACCATTCTTATCGCAATATCCTTACTTTTGTATCTACGCTTCTACAGTACTAAACAATGGTGTACATAAAACTGCAGAGTTTACATCTACCTATCCGTACACGTGTATCTGTCATAAGAGGGGGTAGATTGGCCGTGAACTCACCACGCTGCCCAGACGGGTTGGTAAGTGTGTTTCAGCCGCCCACTCTGGGAACAGACGCTGTTTGCAGCCGCCCACTCTGGGTCAGACGCTGCTGTTGTCGCAGTATCACAGCCGCTTAACTCATAATGTGAGTAACGCCTGTGAGTATCTGGAATTAAGCCTACAGATTTTTGCTTCCCATAGCCTTAAAACAGTAATGACATTACTCCAGTAATGACATTACAGACCACAGATGAGATGGAAAGATGACATCAGGAAACAAGGAGGTCCCAAATGGCAGAGAACAGCTCAAGATAGGGAAAGATGGAGAGAACTGGGGAGACCTATATCCAACAATGGAAGGATAGAGAATAGGTTCAAAAAAAAATCCGTACACTCATTAGGATGACAAGCAGGCTGAAGACGTCTTACGTGAAAAGTTAGAAGAGGAAGCAGTAGGAACGAAATTTTCAATTACGAAGTTGTGAAATGTGTGTCATACAGATATCATAAAAACTTGTAAAAGTAAATTAAGGTAAAAATGATGGTGATGAGTTTACCTATCTGCGGTGTCAACACAAACCGTTGGAATCGTTGTATTGAGCTAAAAGGAATATACTATATCGAATAAGGTAAAAGAATTTTTTGGAAAAACCTACTTTTTATTTCAAAGAAGGTAACTTTAAGACCACCTAATATTCTACAAAAAAGTCAATCAGATCAAAGAAGGTGTTTTAATCTGTCGGCCAATATGTTGGATTTCCAGGAGATATTACAATACATCGCGATTTATACGTTTACGAATGATATAGAAACACTATTTTTGATATTTAAATACATACACATAGTCACAACCACATTTTCTTATGAGTTTGTCTGAATTTTTAATACCTTATTATTTATTCGCCAAAATATCACTTCGCAATGACCCCTTAAACCGAAACAAATTGATTAAAAGTTAAAATAACGATTAACGGCGACGTTATATACCTAATTAGGCATGTCATGGCTCGTAATTACTGATATTTACTTTTATTGGCCACGCTATCTCGATACTTCTTCGGCTTGCCATAAAACGTGTTTTTCTGTTTTCGGAATAGCGCTATCTGAGTTTTGCAATAATTATTGCTATTAACCTATACCCCGCTGCTGTGTTAGACAAAACTAATATATTTCGTGATAACAAATAACTTTTCAGGCTTAGAGGCATATATTAGTAAAATACTGCTATTGTATACCGAAGAGAATATAGTAAAATTATGATATGTCGAGACAAAACTCAATGTAACAATCAAATATTGGAACATATAAAAATAAATGACAGTAATGGAGATTTAGAAAAAAGAAAACATGGAAAAACTTATGGACCTGATAGTATGTACGCTAAATATATTTTTCGCAGACTAATAAACATGACGACCGTATTATTCTATTTTCGTGGGATAAAAATGGTTCCACGTGTCAAATGTCATCTGTCACTTGTTTAACAGTCCAGTCGTCTTTTTTTCTTCTGTAATTTCTTCTATCATTTTATGTTTATGAAAACGTTTTTTACGTGTCGCAAATGAGATAAGTTGATCAGGTGTGGTCAACTATTCTACGGATTAGCTGATAATATTAGCTTCATTAGTCTGTCGTTACTTTATCAATCTTGTTAGAACTGCTAGATCGGGTGGATTATATGGACTAGTACTGAGAGATTTTATGGACGAGAATATTAGATGTCCTAGGAAGAAAAACAAAGTGAATTTAGTTCTGGAACAATATGTAACGACATATTCTGTCTCAAGGAAATGGTTGAGAGAATAACGATAACTAACAAAGAAATACATATTTGTAGTAAAAAGCGTTACAAAAGTAGAATATAATGGGAGGTAAAACGAGAAGTCTTCTTCTTCTTCAAGTTCCACCTCCGCGACGGAGGTCTCCAATCATCATAGCTATTCGGTCTTTTGAGACGGCTGCTCTGAAAAGTTCATTTGATGTACATTCGTACCACTCTCCCATGTTGCGTAGCCATGACATTCTACGCCTCCCTAGGCTTCTTTTTCCTTGGATCTTTCTCTGCATAATCAGTTGGAGCAAGGTGTATTTCTCTCCACGTGTAATATGTCCCAGATATCTCTATTTCTTTATTCATCCTTCTCAGAACCCCTTTGTTTGTGACGTGTTCTGTTCACAATATTTTCTAAATTCTCCTATACACCCACAGCTCGAATGATTCTAGTTTTTTCATTGATGTCGCATTCAAGGTCCAAGATTTCATTCAATAAAACAAAGTCGAAAAAACATAGCACCTCGCCAACCTAACTCTTAGTTACAATTTTAAATCCCTTGTACATAGCACTCCTCCCATTTCGTTGAAATTTGCTCTAGTCTTTTCTATTCTGATTTTGATCTCCTGAATGTAATCATTTGTGAAGTTAATCATTGTTCCCAAATATGCATATTTGTCCACTTGTTCGACTTTGGTTCCGTTTGTAACCGTATTGTTAGACCGTACTCTTTTCCATACTCCGCTATTCTGGTCACCAGTCTCTGAAGATCTTCAATATTTTCGGCTAAGATCACAGTATCGTCCGGATATCTAATGTTGTTAATGGGAACCATTTACCTTTATTCCAGCTGTTTTACCTTCAAGAGCTTTTTTCAGGATCTCTTCCGGAGTAGGCATTAAAAGAATTGGCGACAATACGCATCCCTGTCTCACTCCACGTCTAATGTCAATTTCTTCTGACAGCTGTCCCTTAACACATACTTTTGCTCGCTGTACGTAAAGTACAGTAAAGTAAAGTACGTAAACGAGAAGTAAATAATCACAAAAAAACAAGGCCTTGGAAAAAAGTGCAAAAAGTAAGAAATGAAATTAATCTACTAGATGCCAGAGTGTAACGAGAACGTTACTATAACATTCCGTAAACATTTTTTAAATAAATTTTAAAATCTCAATCCTCTTAATGATTTTCTGAATCTTACAATTTAAGTTGGTATGAAACAGCGACACCAAGCGTCCAAGTTTGAAATCATAGTTTACCTAGTTCAAATAGAGTACCCGAAGCGCACTTCTGTTTGAACTTTGGTGGCAGAAACTTGAGTCCAAGGTAGGGGCCAGACGTGGCGTGGCTTTTGGAATTTAACAGTTTTTTTTATGAAGAAGTAATAGGAAGTTTTAGTTTGGGGTTCTTTTTGTTTGGAGTGTCCTGTTTGGTTTATAGCCACTGCGAGCCGTAAGTATCCAAGTTATAAATAAAATGAAAATAAAAAAAGTCATCAGCCATTTTGAGATCCTGTATTGTCACGTTTCAATTCGATATATTTATCTAAACTTTTTTTCATCCGTCATTAAGAAATATTCAACATCTAAATAGAAAGTGTTAATTGATTTAAAATCATATGTATTTTAATTTTACTTCCCGGCCGTAAAACATAATTATCTATCGGTAAAATTGCTATTAAGAGTATCGTTAAAATATTCTGTCTTATATCGCTCTTTATATTATAAAATATATTCGTATCATATGCTTTTCATTAAAATTGTCGATATAATTAATCTATTTAAATTGTCAAACCATACGACGGTCAAATTATCTATAAAACCATTAAGTTTTTTTTGCTCCCACAATTCATAAGTAACATTTATAAAACCTTTCAAGGTTCATAAACCTTGTGTTTTTTTTTCCTACTCTGTAAGGTATAAGAAAGAACTCTAAAAGAACTGTTTTTTAGCCTACCTTTGGGAGTCAAACAGAAGTCGGCTTCAGGTACTCTATTTGAGCTAGCTAAACTATGATTTCAAACTTGGACGCTTGGTGTCGCTGTTTCATACCAACTTAAATTTTAAGATTCAGAAAATCATTAAGAGGATTGAGATTTTAAAATTTATTTAAAAAATGTTTACGGAATGTTATAGTAACGTTTTCGTTACAAGAGACAGAAAAAAATTGAGGATGACCTCGAAGAACTTGGCGTGACGATATCGATAAACATTATTTACTGGTATATGTAAAAAGATTTATTAGGTCTTAAAAAATTCTCACCTATAACTGGATAGGTTCGTTCCGTTCAAAGGCTTCGTCGTTGGTGGTTTCCCTCTAGTCACTAAGTTACCATTAGATAAATTTGGATGGTTGACACTGGCGTCGAGGTGGTGTATACCTTGATTGTTGATATTCGCACCGCTAGCACCTTGTTTGCTGTAACAAAGAGAAAAATTATAAGATATTTTAGTCATTACACTCAAAATAACCAAATAAAATATAATTCACAACGGACTATCTGTTGTCTAGGACTATCAGACTGTCTAGCAACACTTGAGTCAGCTATACATGAATCTTTTTTGCACAATCAAAACCTTATTGCTATATTTTTTGACATAAGAAAAGCTTTTGATACAACATGGAGACATCATATAATAAAAACGCTTCAAGGGTGAAATGGTTAAAAACATATGTGGTCATTTATTAAAAATTTTTAACAACACGAACTTTTCGAATTAGAACCGATGGATTTATATCTTTCTGAGGATTAGTTCAACACGGAGCCCACAAGGATCAACTACTCTAAGTCTAACACTCTTTCTAATGGTAATAAATATTATTGTAAGTCAAATAAAGCCACCTGTATTTACTGGCCTACATGCAGATGACATATGTGGCTATTTGCCAAAAATTGATATGCCAAATCACGGTTTTTAGCGTAGTCTATCTAGCTAGAAACCTAAATATTAAACTCATGTGTAATTTTTATGCATCAAATAGAACAATGCCTGTATCATATTCATTTTATGCGAAGATTTTTAAAGAACTTGGATATAAAATTTAAAAATCCTAGTAATGATACATGTAAGACTTGTGATTATGTAGAAAACAAGAAAAAATCCGCTAATAGTGAAGCTCTGGATATGCGTATCGTATAGAATTATATACAGGACAAGAGAATGATCAAAAATTGAGACCTGCTTTTGAACCCGACCTCGGAGCAACCGCAAATGTTGTGGTGAGATTGGCTAGAATTACTCCTAGGAGTAAGAGTCACAGGTTTTATTTTGACAATTATTAAGATATTCACAATTTAGGAACCGTAAGAAGGAATAGGATTCCAAATTGTACGCTTCCGGATGAAAAGGCTATGAAAAATCAAGAAAGAGGAACTAGTGTAGAGTTTGTTGGTACTTGCGATGGTGTGGAAGTAAGTAGCTTAGTGTGGAAAGATAACAAATTAGTCATGTTTCTATCGACTTTCACTTACGAAGTTTCTAAAACTACTGCCCAGAGATATAACAAGAAAGAAAAGAGAACAAAAGAAGTAATTTGTCCATATTTTGTACAAGAATCCAACCATCATCATATGGGCGGTGTTGATTTATTGAAGAGCAATATGGGACGGAATAGAATTATTCTAAGGAGCAAAAAATGATATTTTAGAATATTTTACCATTTACTAGATCTAACCGTTGCTAGAGCTGGCGCGAAGCCTAAACTCATACACGCTCAGTTTAAAACACAATTTGCAGAAGCATTATGCAGGACAGGAGAGCGATTCACCATTGCAAAAACGGGAAGACCTTTAGTAAGTGAAGCTGAGGAGGCGCTACAAGTAAAGAAGAGAAAAGGCCCAGCACAGGTTATGTCAGTAAAGGATGTTCGAATGGATGGAATTCACCATTGGCCTGTATGGTCCGAAAAAACAAACAAGGTGCAAATTTCCTCAGTGCTATAGCTATACATATGTGTTGTGCAAAAAGTGTGGTGTAGCACTTTGTTTCACTAAAACGAAGTTTAAAAATTTTCATTTTTCCTAAATATTGTTTTAAGTATATCCTTATTTGCATAATGTTGTTCATAAACAACACTTCCATTTTTCCAGAATAAAAAAAAATAGTTGTATGGAATTTTTTTTATTATTTTTTACCGTAAAAATAACGAAAATCCAGTCTGCAAACTTTTTTGCAACGAAAAATAAAAAATCATGCTGTAATATCCAAATACCCAACAACCCATCAAATTTTTAGTGGTGCTTATAAATGTGATAAAGGACATTCTGGCTTATATCTGCAAAAACATTCCACAAGTCTACCGTAAAAATTCCTACAAATTGTTGCATATATACTGGATCATTGACGCCAATTCACCATGCCATGAAACATGTGGTTTTATCCATGCAAGCAAACTTATTATTAGCAGAGATTCAATGAGCGCATTACTTGGAATAAAACAGCTTTATACAACTCACAAGATCAAAGAAGAATTATCTTATCTACAGGCTCAATCAAAAAAAAATTTATTCATCGGGGTACCTTTCCATATGCAAGAAAGAGAAAAAAGATACAAGATGCTGGATAAACAACATTAAAGATTGGAGTCCGGAGAAAGAAAAAAGATAGGAAGATTTTAAGACTAGTTTAGAGGTGAAGTGGACCAGATAATAGAAAGAAGAAATCTTCACGATGGAGAATATGTAAGTATGGAATGATTGAGAGAAGAGAAATGCAATGAAAATTGTGGAAATCCTTAATAGTGGTATATTAATAATCAATAAATACCTGGTACGTTTATGTAAGTCACAACAGCTCTTGTCCATATATCGAACCACTTTAGTCAACCCGTGTTCTTGCAATTTCGCCTGCACTGGCGGTTTTAGGAATCTGTTGTAATACATTATAAACACTGTTCTTCAATACACAAGACACATTACCACTATATACACCACATTCCACTTAGTTCACTTGAAATCCGGCGTTTGATAAGAAAAAAACAAAAATGTTAAAAGCCTTTTTGATGAAACTGTGATTCGTCAAGCGGTATATTTAAAACGTCGAGTTGTTTAGTCACGCCTGTTGAGTATGATGATAGTTGCAGGATGACGGTATTCAATAAAAGTAGTGTGATACAGTTTTCCAATTAATTAACGAAAATTGGCCAATTACCGTGAAATAAGTGATCATTTAAAAATCATTATCGGTTGTTGAGTATATACCATGAGAGAAACTTTCTTTAACACTTTCATCTTTGGTATTAAACGTACATTGGCGCCTTGTACTTAGAATTTAAGGAAAATATACATTGAAATAGCAATTATCCTACTCCAATATCTTTATATTAATCTAATTGACTACTTCATTATATTCCTAGATGGTTTATATATACAGTGTGATTTATTTGTGTGATGAAGCTCCGTATATCTGTTATAGTAAAAGATACAAAAAAAGTTGTGTATAAAAGTTATGTAGAAATAAACAGGCGAATAGAGATTGCCAGATCAGTATTTATACGAATTAAGCCACTCCTAACGTGCAAAAATCTAAATTTGGAGATCAGACTACGTACCATTCGCTGTTATATATTTTCAATATTATTAAATGTAGCTGAGACTTGGACATTAAAAAAATGTAATTTATAAAGAATCGAGACCTTCGAACTCTGGTTATACCGCAGAGTATTGAAAATATCATGGACCGATAGAATTACAAATAAAGAAGTACTGGACAGGGTTGGTAAAGAAACAGAACGAATCACCACTATACAAACCAGAAAACTGGAATACCTAGGACACGTAATGAGGGGACCAAAATATGAAATTTTGAGACAGGGAAAGATTCAAGGAAGAAGATCTGTTGGTCGAAGGTAGAACTCATGGTTAAAGAATCTACTTGATTGGTATCAATGCAGACCAATTGATTTGTTTAGAGAAGTAAGTTCTAAAATAAAAAGAGCCATTATGATTGCCAATCTCCGTAGGGAGACGACACTCTAGGAAGAAGATAAAAGTTGTACGTAGCTGTAAACTTCAAATTTTAAAATAAGTTACAATCTTACAGAGTATTTCCAAGCTGCGCGGCGTGACAGAATAAAGTTATATATTTTTAAACGAAACACCCTGTATTTTATTCTAAATTTGAAATTTGATTCACTTCGCTATTACAACAATATAAAGTTGTAACCTGTTATACTGGGTATTTAAAAAGTTATAACCAATATCTCTCTTCTTTATTGTCAAGCACAGAAATAATATTGAAGGAACTCTCGTCTTACCATATGAAACAACATGGTCACAATCCTTTGAAGTTGCCTACTTATTACCAGGATCTTAATTCAAATGAGCTTGTTTGGGCATATTTTAAACAATATGTTGGAACTAAGAATACCACATTTGTATTATCAGATGTTGTAAATTTATTAACAAATTCTTCTTCTTGTAGTGCCTATCCGTTTCGGATGTTGGCGACCATCATAGCAATCTGCACTTTACACACTGCTGCTCTAAAAAGATTTGTGGTTGTTGTATTGAACCACGTTCGTAGATTTTTCAGCCAGGAAATCCTTCGCCTTCCTGGTCCCCGTTTTCCTTCTACTTTTCCCTGCAAGATTAGTTGCAGCAGTCCATATCTTTCGCTGTTCCTCATGATGTGACCGAGGTATTCGATTTTAGCTGTTTTTATTGTGGTTAACAGCTCTTTTTCTTTTTTCATTCTCAACAGAACACCCTCATTAGTAACGTGGTCGGTGTACGATATCTTCAGGATGCGACGATAAAGCCACATTTCAAAAGCCTCAATTTTCTTGCAGGTGGCGTCTGTGAGAGTCCATGACTCAACTCCGTACAACAGTATAGGAAAGATATAACATCGTAGTAACCTGATTTTTATGGGCATTGATAAATCATGACATTTGAATAACTTGGCCATTTTTTGAAATGCAGATCTTGCTTTCTCTATTCTACATTTGATTTCTATGGAATGGTCCCAATTTTCATTGACGTTCGTACCAAGGTAGGTGTATGTTTTTACTCTTTCTATTTGTTGACCGTTTACACTGATTTGTTCAAATTGCTGTTCCTTCTTAGAGATCATCATGCATTTTGTTTTCTTGGTGTTTAGTGAAAGTCCGTATCTCTGACTGACCTCTGTGATTCTGTTCATTAACTCCTGGAGGGCTTCAGAGCTGTCAGCAAATACTACCGTGTCGTCCGCGTATCTAATGTTATTGATTAATTCTCCGTTGATTCGAATTCCGGCTTCAACATCACCCACTGCTTCTTGAAAGATTTCCTCAGAGTATATATTAAACAGCAGTGGTGATAGTATACATCCCTGACGGACGCCACGTTTGATTTTGATGTCGTCGGATTCTCCTGCCTCTGTCCGGATAGATGATGTTTGATTCCAGTACAGATTGCTGACAATTCTTAAATCACA